GGGCTGGTGTGCATAGGCATCAAAAGGCTGTGAGCTTATATTTTGGGACTGCCCCCATTGTATAACAGTCGAATGATATGTATAATATCATTTCAGGTAGCCCTTAAGCCCTAATGTAGACTTTAGGTGGACCCCCCCACCCAGTAATAGTCACTATAGGGGATAGTAAGGATTGCATCAAGGTCCTCTTATATTCCTATTATACCACTATTACAGGGTGAGGGGTCGACCTAATGTAGACTGTTGGAGGGTGGGAGCTGCACCCAGCTTATATTATTGTAGGTTGTCGTTGCAGGTAGGTTTCCGGTTGAAGATATCTCTTGAGAAGCATATAAGTATCAATATACAGGGCGTACCAAGACGATAGTGGCAGCACCTAGGCAAATGAAGAGCGGCGAGTCAAATGTTGAGAAACCCTCCCCACTCCGTACTGTATTTCTATTGGGAATCCAAAATCACTTTCATTCATTTTTTGTCAGTTATACCCCTAATGACAACCAAGGATGTGATTTTTTTGTGGGGTTCTGAGGCCGGTGTAGATTTAACATGGAATCAAGCTGCAACCTCTTTTAGGGTTTGGCTTGGAGTCTAGACCCTAAACCCTAAACCCTAAACCCGGGTGGTTTACGGGCTTTTAGGGGTCCCCTGCTGGTTTGAGGACAGATAAACCCTGAATCCTGTGGCCTCGCATAAGGATCGAGGATTGGGTTTAGGGTTTAGGGTTTAGGGGTTTAGGGTTTAAGGGTTTAGGGTTTAGGGGTTTAAGGGTTTAGGGTTTAGGGATTAGGGTTTAGGCTTGAGAATGGTCTTTATGAATCTGGGTAGGCCCCTGAAATATTTAATATTTTCCCTAATGGCTTTAATAAGGGACCCCAAATACTAATATTTTTCAACGGGCTTTAGGGGCCAACCCAGGAATGAATTGCAGGCAACCGAAACCTTCAACCCTGAACCCTCTGTGTCAAATTTGGACCTCAGACCCCTTGAATGTACAACCGCCTTTGCAAGACCGTGCTAGAATCCTTTCCACCCTGCACTGGCTTGGGACTTATTCGTTGATGCAACATGAAAAGTTTCGAGTCAAAGGTTTAGGGTGGAGGGTTTGCCGCTGGTGCTTTGGAGGGGAATGCATATGAGCTATAGTCCAAGCTCCTTAAAGAGGGTTATATAGGGGATTAAATAGGGGACTACTATAGGGGTTTTTTAGGGGGATACTAGGAGTTGAGACAGTGGTGCATATAGGCATGATGATAATAAGGGTTTTATATGAGAATTGTCTGAGAGGTATTCTAGGGATGTGCTAACCCACTGCCTCTCAAGCACTAGTATTTAGTAAGTTTTGGTTGTAGCAAAGGGCACTTTGTAATCTGATATACTCATGGGTTCCCCGACTAGCCCCCTATACTACCCCCCACAAAGCTCCCACTTAGTTAGATAGCCTCAATTCGGCGGGAAGTATAGGGGGGGCTACTACGAAGCCCCTGATAGACCTTCCAGAGGTGACAGGGAAAATCTTGAATCTGAGGCATAGCAGAGACGAATGAAGCCTTGGTTAAGGGGCTGAAGAGCCTTGGATCGACAGAGTGCTCTAGGGTTTAGGGGTTTAGGGCTTAGAGTTTAGGGTTTAGGGCTTAGGGTTTAGGGTTGAGGGAACTTTGGGATCTAAAGTATTGCCAATATTATCGTGATAATGAGGGATCAAATGGAAAAGCCGTGGACAGACATGGAAGGTAAAATGGAAAGTGGGTGTGTATAGGCTGTTGCGGGCACAATTACCCATGGTACGGTCCTTGATTCCTTGTACAATTATGCTGTAGGATACTTCAAATAGACCTCAACTGCGCTCTTGTAGAGCAACATTTTACACTTTTATGGATATCCGGGCCCAATATCAATAAGAAAAGATCTTTTTTAATTGTATTTCAACAAGAACCCAGTCAACAGGCTTAGCAATTCTTTAGGCCCCTACATGTGTACTGAAGAGGCAGATCCCTGGAAGTGGCGCCTGATTACAGCCCCTGTTTAAGAAAGGGAGTGGGTTCCATGCATAACATAGGGGCCGTAATAATTACCAACATTTTGGTTCCATCTTCCTCATATCATTATGGTCTATGGTACCTCAGATGGACCTCAAAATGATATTGGTAATTACTTAGGCCCCTGTAGTAGAGGGTTTAGGACTACGGATGTAGACGGATTTCTTCTTGAGTGTCCCTACCAAAGCTTTCATTTTTGTGTAGGGTACCTGCGGCATCCCACTGTGAGGAAATAGCCACACGAGCCGCATTTAAAAGTTTTTTTCGGGGGAAACAGAACAGGAGCTGTGCACGCAGCACAGGCTGTTACCGGCAGATCTTTAGGGTTTGAGAGCTTAAGCAATGATGACTTTCAGGTCTAGAACCCCTGGAACATGCCTTGTCGCATGGTACAGTGCAGCAGGATTTCCAAGTTTCGGATGTATATATGGTGCATTCGCGCAATGCCTTGCATGGCATCTTCCGAGTTTGTAGGGCTCGCTCAGGGCTAATTAGGGTTTATGTCTTAGCTTTTGTCGGCGCTGTCATGACAGTGATCTCAACCAATGGCTCAGAGGATTTCTAGTGGGTGTCATGGTGCAGATCTCCATGTGCATCTCTTTGCTGTGGTAGCAAATGTTCAGGTTGCTGGCCTCGAATCCCTTCACCGACGGTTCAACACCCCCCCATTCCCCGATATTATTTACATCCCCAACATATATGGTAGTTTCCCAAAATAAGGGGACCCCAATATAGACCCCAAAATACTATAGTCCTTATTATGGGGACCCCCAAAAGGGTACCCCTAATTTTGGGAAACTACCATATAAGGTCT